GGCCTCTCCCCTCTTACTATTTCCACCCTTCTACAGACTTCTAACTTGAAATGTCCCTCACTAAAGTTCTCCTTGTATTTCTAGAATTCAACAGACTAATTTATAAGTCAAGAAAATAGCTAAAATAAAAAAGGATATAAAACAGAGCCATGATTACAGAAAGAAAATGACTATGCAGTTATGGAAAATCTTATTAAAGAAAACAGACTTCTACTGTAATCTTGTGGGAGAATGGAAATTAAATAAAGGGGGTAAGCAGATACAGTCAGCGCTCAGACGAGAGCCCTGGCTACAGAAGGACAGGCCCAAGCACTGCTGAGAGCCACGCAGGGCTCAAGACCTTATTAGCAGCAGGAGGGCCGGGCCACGGGAGGCCCCACCTGCCTGGAGGCCACGCTCACACAGCTCCAGCTGCAGGTACAGCTGCGGAGAGGAGTCCAAACCTCGTGTGACTAGTGAACTTACTGACTTATTTTTCAAAGGAAGCAACTTAAAATATTTACAGGGTCCTTTAAAATAACTACAGAAACCCAAAGTTTGGGAATCCTTTCTTTAGAACAATGCACTTTGGCTGCACTTCTGTGTGATGACTAAGTGGGAAGATGAGAAATCTCCCTGGAGGGGGAAGGCATGGTTTGATTTGAGTGGGCAGGGTTCCAGCATTGCACACCACTCTGAGGGGCGGCCATGCTCACTGGAGGGGACCTGGCTGCTCACCAGCTGGCCTTGAGTATTTTCCTTGACCTCGGCCTTCTTGAAACCGTGGGCTGGGCGTGCAGATGCCCCTGTCTCCTGTGCTTAGCCTGTCCTGCTCAGAAGTCAGCTCCAACTGGAGCAGGATGCTGCAAAGTCTCCGTCTGCTGCTCATAAGGGCTTTGTACTACAAACCTCTTCCCAGAGGCCAGGTCTGGGCAGGTGCTTGTCCCTGCTCAAGGGATGCTGACTCCCCACCCTGTCCTGGCCTCATAGGAGTGGAACCCTGTTTCTGAACACTGCCTGGTACCCAGGGACCTGGACTGAACTACAGGTGGTGATATGCATCTGTCAGTTCTCCACTCACCCCCTGGAACCTGCTCCCTCAGCACAGGCTTCAAGGTGTTCACTGGCTGATGCCTAAGGTTGCTGGATAATGGCTGCTCTTGGACAAGAAGCCTCTAGTGCCCTCAAGTCACCCAGGAAGTTCTAGTGCCAGGCCTCATCTACCCCCCTCCTCCCTCAGATTGCCTGGTGCAATCTGAGTCATGACTCTTAGGTGACCTTTTCATGCTGCAGGCTGCTCTCGCCTCAGCCTCTACTTCTAGGAAGATCCACTGGCCTGGCCTGTGGAAGTCGCCTGTTATGCTGTCTGCATGGCTGTCCCCTCTGCCCCATGCTGGACATCCTGAGACAATGAGCCAGGGTCCAATTCTACACATGGGCAGCTACTTCTAAGAAGCATATCAACTTATGATCGTAGTTCTTTGAATCCTGGAGTATTACATCTGGAAGGGCCTCCTTGCATCTCATTGAACTCCTGGTTCCAGGGAATGCCTATGACTTACTCAAGGTCACACAGACAGTGAAGCAGGAGAAGCAGCATTCCCGTTCTTATGGAGCTAATGGCTTTCTGTGGGTCTGAACAAAACAAATCTTACTGAAGCTGATGAAAATCTGAAATTCAAAATTAACTGTGCCCTACAGAACAACAGCACCGGAAGTTCTGATTTGAGGTTTGGCATCTGATTGTTTCTAATTCACAGGGAAGCGTTGGAAAGGTCACTTTCCAAACACTCAGGAAGGGATACATTATGGCACACAAACACAGTGGAGAACACAAAGGCTGTGGGAGAAGGCTGCAATTTTCTGCAAGATGGCAGCTTGTCGTTTCTGAGGACTCAAGGTAAACAGAGAGAACGGCCCATATGGCTGAAATCCCCAGTCAACTTCAAAAGCTCATTCCTGCCTTGTATGGCACAGATTCTCTTCAAAAAAATGGCCAGACTGAGACCTGGTGATGGTCCTCGCAGAAGGAGGTGGAAATAGTCTGAGACCTTTTGTTATTTACAATAAGAGACAGCTAACCAAGAAGAGGACTAGAAGAGAGAAGGGAGGGGCAGAAGCAGGCCCCGCCACACTGTCATCCACTGATGCTCTTGCCTCAGCTTGCTCATCTGCAGAATGGGACGGTGGCACTTATTCACAGGGTCGTCACAGCAATCAAAGGAGATCGTGGATCTGAATGTACTTTGTTTTATACTAGAACAAGTAAAAATGTACTTATTATTAACTACTGGCCAGAGACTCAGCTGGAGAGGCAGGAATGGCAGAGACAGGTAGTGACTGATAATACTCTCTATGCATAACTGAATGGTGATATGATGAATTTGGGTTCCACAATGATGTTGAACCATGGGGGCTTTTGAATATTCCCATCTTGTCTAATTCACCCTTTTCCTTGTATAAAACTGGAAAAGCCCCAACTCATCCAAAGGAGGTACACTAGGGATAAATCAGAGGGATGACAGTGTCATCTGTTCTCTAGGCTAGTAATGAGTTTGTGAGCAGAGAGAGAGTGCCCCTCTTTTAAACGAACACACATTTATATATAGTTCACATAAACACTCTGGGACAATCTCACTGTGTCCAGAGACATGTGTACAGAAATCCAAGAGCGACAAGCACATACTCAGTGCTACTGGGCACCACCACGCTGGACGTCAGGCAGCGAGTGTGGGAGTATTCAGAGCTAGTACGTATGGAAATGCACTCGGAATGTGCATACTGGGTAAATTTAAGGGGAGTCAGGCCAGTCAGCATAGACCTGAGTTCCACACTGTACAACCATATCTGAAAGCTTAATGCCATGTGTTGGAGAACTTTGCATGCTCACCTGAAAGCTTGCACAACGTATTTAAGGTTGGTGATCAGCATGTTTTAAAAGGGTGCTTATGAAAAAAAAAATGTGTGCTTATGATGATATAAGAAATTGTTAATAAAGACCTGAAAGATGAAGTCATGAGTAGGAAGAGTATGAGAGTGCAAGAGGCAGAGAAAAGAGACTGACTGATCCCCACTCGAGCAGGATTACTGTTCTGTTGACATGGAAGCTGGCACCAAGGATGAGCCTTACAGGTGACTGGAGGGGCCCCAGACATCCGCAGTCAGTCTGCAAGGAGACGGGCGTCCTCCCCTGACTCAAGTACTGACGTACACGTCCACAGCAGCTAGGGGTGTGGATTGAGCTGGTTTTAGAAGTCCCAGGTGGGCTGGGCATTTAAGGCCTATCAGCCACCACTGTAGGATGAGTTTCACACCCTTAGCCTGGGTCCATCTGGTGAATTAAGACTTTTCCACAGCAGAACTGACAGCACAAACACACCAGGAAGCCAGGCTCTGCGCATGGCACGTGACTAAGAGGAGAAGATGCTTTGAAGGTGAAACGAAAGTCCTCAGAACTCCAGTGAACTCCCCAAATCACTGACTTTTCTTTCTCATTTTCAGTTTTTTCTTCCTCAAACACTGACTCATTTTTTTGTAGATCGGAGAGCTCTAAATGGACAGGAACTTTCCTATTCCTGGGCACTATTAACAAAGCGGGGTGGCCCAAGGTGACCTCACCTTGCTTTTTACTTTTGTTCCTTTAGCCTGTAAGTGCTATTTCTTGGGACATGCAGAGGCCTGATGTTGTTACATTGGCTATTTTAGGTATGGCTAAATGAAACTAAATTATGTTTTCTAAACTCTTTTCTGGGGCTTCCCCCAAAAATTTGCTCTAAAGAATCATGAAATGAAACTTGACTGGCACCTCAGATTAGAACTTCATAGAAGGGTGTCGACAGATCTTAAGACATGCTCTTTAAGACTAAGCATGCACACACATACCCCCTGCTCTAAAGGTCTTTTGTGGCTTGAGAATTGTGAAGAAAAAGGGGGGGGGGGGGGAAGCAGAGAAGCCATTAATTTTTGAGAGACCTTTGGCAAGAGTGCCATTTATATGACATCTTGAATTCTGATTACTGTAGCACTTGGCAAGTTATCCACAATGCACTTGCTTTATTTCTGGAAGGCCAAGGTTTCTGCCTTAGGAAAGGGTTCTATAAATAGACACAATCCATACCCCAAGTCAGACCTGACACCTGCTTGGTGCTATCTGAAAACGTATCTTTTTAAAATGTCAGCTTGATAAGCCTTTAAACTTTGTGAGGTCTCTGGAGCTGGAGAATTTTATAGAATAAACAGAATAACAGATAAATGCAGAAAACAAAGTCCCAGTAAGGAGCAACAGCTGCTGTCTACTCTGGGCTTCAGCTGAGTGCTTTCTAGACCCAGGAGTCAGACAGACTGGGGTTTGAATCTCTGTTTTGCAACTCACAGGCGGTGAGGTCTTCAGTAAGTCACCTTATAACAAGGTAGTCCCCAGGAAAAGGGGAGGTTCCAGGTTCCCTACCCCACCCAAGGCAGGGAGGAGCTGAGCAGGAAGGAGAAGAATCGGGAGAGGAGACTGAAGAGGAAGGAAGAAGGATGGAGAGCCAGAAGGAGACCTGAGGCAGGCACACAGAGCAGAGATGTGAAGAAGCGGCTCTTGTTTCTTGGCCCTGCACTGGGTGAAACAGATGTGGGGGAGAGACCCATGGGGAGGTTGACTATGGCAGCTTTTTTTTTTTTTTAAAGATTTATTTATTTGTGCATACAGAACTGGGGTACAGGCCAGAGACTCAGGGGTGGCAAAAGACTTCATCAGAGACAGAGTGGGGAGCATAACAGGCAGATCGATGAAGTACACTGCTGAGGGGAGCAGCGGGCGGGTCAGGAGAGGTCTGCCACACCATGTGGTCACCTCCGGGGCAGGCGGGAATCGAACTCATGCGGAAGTGGTTTCAGCTTCTTAGTGCAGTGCGTTAACCCGCTGTGCCACTAGGGAGGGCCAACTATGGCAGCTTTTATCATGATTTTGATTTTGTTCTTTTCCTCCCTGACTTGTCTGACCATTTCTGACCCTTTCCTATGGGTCACCCCCACAGGAAGGGCTTTAGACTTGTGGCAGGCTTTTGGGCCTTGCTTTGGGCCAATCGCTTTTGGGTGGACGTTAACCCACGAGGGGATGGGTAACTTTGGGTGTTTGATTCAGAAACTGTATTCTTTGTCTTTTATGTATTGCACACTAATTGTATTAAAGTTTCTTTCCATGAAAGGTCTTACATGTTTTGTCTTGAAGCGGCAGATGGCAGAGCCTATTTAGAGCAGGCAGGTTTGGGGGGGCCAGGGGTGACCCTCTCCCTGCCCTGTAACAACCTCACCTTACTGACCTCCATTTCTGAGATCAGGATCAGACAAACTAACCAAGTTGTAGCATTTCTGGAAAACTGCTGACCCTCAGTAAGGGCTAGTTTACAAAAGGAAAACTGGGTCAAGAGAAATAAAGATTAATAAACCAAAATGAAGGAGCATTTTATGAACTATAAACAGTGCAAAGAGAACAACTCAGATGGCTCCTTGTCCATTTAAACAACAAAGTCACAAGTGGCCTCAGAATTGCGTAAGTGGACAAAGGCCGGCTCGGCGGCTTGGGCTGTGCTGATCTCTGCTTCCTGCCCCTCCAGCACGATGCTACCCCTGGAGCACAGTGGAACTGAGGAGCTCAGGCTGGAAACCAGCATACTGCAAACATTTTCTTTTATGAAAAGGAACAAGCCAGACACTATTCTTAGGAAGGGAAAAACACCAGCTTTTTCCCTAGAAGTAAGCTCAGCAAGTTGCCCAGGTCCAGCCCCGCATCCACACAAGGGCCTGCGTTATTCCTAGTCAGAGCACAGAGCTGCATTCTATGCTTCCCTGACCACAGGGCACACTGGCCACATCAGGAGGCCCAATGCCCAAGGATGGCAGGGAGGTGCCAGGAGGCAGGCCCCAGCGAGCCCGCTGCTCTTTATTATCTGTAAGACTGAGCATGGCTGAGTCTAGAGCACTAAGCCCTCAGCAATGACTGGCAAATTTAAAATGTCCCTAGGCATTCAAAAGTAGTTCAACACATCACATCTCAAAATCTGCAAAGATGATGACAGGATTTACCAGCCTTGGTGATGAGAAAATACTGGGTGTCACACACTCAGGTTAACTTCAGCTCTATCATGGGGAGAAGAGAAATTCCTCAAGCCAAGGAGTCACTGAGTGGGCAGAAACAGGGTTCCTGCCATCAGGCACTAGGCCCAGGACAAGCAGGAGGGAGAAATCACTTCAGGAGAGCTGCAAGTACGCGGATTTACAAACCGGTTAGCACAACTGCTTTGCAGAACTGGCAAAAGCAGCAGTTGTTCCGGAAAATAAGCGGCTTGTCCCAGGAAGAAAGGATAAGGAGCAGTGACTCACAGGCACACTGTGACTGCGGATTAGATTAGCTGAGCAACATGGGAGGGGTGTGGGGGCACCCCTGGGGCAGAGTCAGGCCGAGAGGAGGAGAGCAGAGGGAGGCATGTGACAGGTTCCTGGGAGCACGGCGGAGTTTCTTTTGCCTGGGACAGAGGCTGCAGGGGTGATGAGGTGTTAAGACTGCTCCTCACTGCAGAAGTCAGCCTCAGGGAAACCTCCCTGTCTCCCCTCTGTAGAGCTAGTGTTCTCCTATCCAATTGTCACACAGCTCACCATTCTATAGGGTGGCGGGGGGTTGGTGTCCAGCCCCTCCCCCTCCAGCTCTGGCCAGGAGTGCTGAGCAACTATACACTGAATCAGACCATACAGGCGGTGGTGGGCCCCAGAAGGTTGGCCGGCTGGGCCCCGAGGCCAGATCAGAAGCCACCCACCGTGATATGAAGATATGAGAGGGGTCATGGGTTCTTTGCCGCTGGAAGAGAGGGGAAGTGAGCTGGCCTCACTTCCTGACCAGGCTACCAGAGGATGTGGAGAGGCAGGCATGAGAGCTGATTTCAGCTACAGTGATGAGGCCAAAGCAGAAGGCCAGACTGGGAGCCAGGAGGCTCCTTAACACCTGGATGTGTCACTGATCGTTCAGGTTCTTCTAAAATAAGTGAGTCAGTGGCTGATTATCAGAATCACCTTAGGAGCTTCACACACACACATGTTCACACGGGGACATGCACCCAGGTACTGAGTCAGAAGCTCTGGGTGCTCCTGATGGTCACTGGCCCTCAACAAGCTCTGCCAGCATTAGTGGACAATGACCTGATGACATGTACATGTATTTTTTTAAAAAGTGTTTTTATTTATTTTAGGTAGAAGAACTGGGGTGTCAGCCAGAGGTGCAGGGGGGTGAGCGGATTCACCAGAGATGGAATGGAGAGCAATACAGGTGAACTGATTGAAATACACTGCTGAGGGGAACAGCAGGTAAGACAGAAGAGGTCTGCTGCCCATGTGGGTCCCTGGCCGGGGGTTGAACTCAGGCCATAGCAGTGACAATGCTGAGACTTTACTCCTAGGCCACCAGGAAGGCCCTGTCCATGTATTTTTAAAGGATAATTTTTTTCTATACTTTATATTTTCGAGAAGTCACATGCTTTTTTCTCTTCAGACACATGACAGAATGGTCTATCCTACTTAAGGATGGTCAATGGCCTCCTGCTCAGGCATGCACTAGGGCTGTGAAAGGGTCAGAAAGAGGCAGGTCAGTAGGAACCATGGGCTATGTCAGAGTAGGGGTGGGTATGACCCTCAAGCCAATTCAATCAGCAGGCTAGGCTGGGACTCCCCTGGGCTGTGACATTGGTTCTGTGCCTTAGGCATGGGTGACTGGGGACATCTCAGCAGCCCCCCAGTCCCACGAATGGCACCTCTCCAAGCGGTCACATTCCCGCTGTCCTTCACGGCAGCAGGTTCCAGGTGGTAAGGGTGCAGGCCCGCTCTGTGTGCCCCGTGCCACACCACGCACCGTGCATGGCCATACTATATCCTCACAGGCACCCTGTCACACGCTCTCGTTAGGTCCAGTTTATGGATTAGCAAGGAGGCAGAAGGGCTCTTACTTGCCACAGAGCTCAGAGCCAAAATTAGGGAGAAATACTGATCGTGACATTCTCTTTTAACTAACTCCTCGCTCCATTCCCTCGGGCTCCTGAGATGGAGCCTCCCCAAGAGGGGAGCGAGCAGGAGGGTCCCCTGCCTCCTGGGGCACCTGCCCACTCACCTTGGCCAGTCTTGCTCGCTTGATGAGGTCGTTGAGTTTGCGCACAGCTGCCTTCTGGGGCAGGCTCTGGATGTCTCTGAAGAGGTCCTGGGCCTCGGCCTCAAAGAGCCGGCGGTTGTCAGTGTTCTGCAGCGGCTGCGCCCAGAAGGAGCCAATGTAGACCCTTAGCACCTCGGGCGTGTTGATGACCTTGCCCAGGGACCACATGAGGGCCCCGTAGACGCGCATCAGCTGCTGCGTGTCCACCTGGTCGGCCTTGTTCAGCACCACACGGATCTTGTCATCCTGGCCCCGGAAGGCCTTGATGGCCTCTGAGAACTCATCGGAGATGTCCAGTTTGTGGGCATCGAAGAGCAGGATGATCCTGTCCACCCGCTCGGCAAACCACTGCAGGACCTGGCAGAAGTCATACCCTGGTGGAGAGAGGAGTGCATCAGGATGGCCGATGCCGCAGACATGGCCACTGCGAGGGCTTGGGGCCACTTGGCTCTCCTGCAGCTGCCTGGGGAGAGTCTCAGCTCGAGGTTGGCAAAAGTGGAGGCTTCTGGACTGAAAATCATGTCCAGTGGACCCCTGGGCTGGATGCACTGAGTCAGTGCTGGGGTCCCAGGAGAGAGAGGGTGGAAAGAGGGGCTCGTAGAAGCTCTGACTGGGTCCTGTCTGCCTTCACATCTGTATCTTACGAGTTTCTTACTTGACTGACAGTTCCTCAGATGACCGGCAGCACTGACCACAGGCTCCATAAAACCACAGGCCATGGGTTAAAAGCTCTCAGTTCTGTCAAAGCCTCACTTTTCTGAAAGTGCCAGCAACAGAGAAGGAAAAAAACCTGGAGGCGGGGTGGCGTCCAGTAAGCACAATGGAAGAGGATCGCCTTCTATGAGCCCAGAGTTTTAGGTGCTAGGGTGAAAGGGGGCCTCGCCAAAGTTGTGACCAGCATTTATCATTGGCACTATTTATATTTTAAGCATATTATGACTACTTAGAAAAATTCTGTCTGACAGCTGTTCTGTGAAATGATCTCTTGCCAGTACTTAAAAAAAAAAAAAAAAAAGGCTCAGCCCACAACAAATTCTGCTCAGTTCACTTTGGCGTCATACCACCGAGTCTGAAACGTGCAGCTAAATAAACACTCCTCTCAGCCTGTGGTCAAGGCTTTCAGGCACTTCCCCAGGGAGGCTGCCTCCCAGGAACAGAAAGCAACAGCAGGCCAACCCCCTGGGGTTCCTCTTCCCTCAAAGTCTGATTGGCTGTGGAGTCAGCAGCTCAGGGCTGCCCCATTAGAAGGGAGATGGAGCCTTTTGTGTCTCCCACGCATCTGTTCTTAGATCTCGATAACTTCCAAACATACATGAAGTCTAGAGAATAACACGATGAATGCTGATCACTTCCTACTTTTTTTTT